AAAAAAAAAAAAAAAAACATGAAAAAAACAAGAAAATCGAATTCATAAAGGGTAAATGCACTGTCATATAATAAAGCATGAAACAAGAAAAATAAACACAGGGTGATAATGGAGTAGGAATAAACAGTCATGGAACAGAATTCAAAGCCTGAATATATCTAAGAGCACTTGCCAAATTTAATATGTGGTAAATTAAGAAAAGATTAATCCAGTAAAGTATATAAAAACATTGAGCCAGATTTAGAGGAGAAAGATAATTAGATCCTTACCTTATTCCCAGAATAAATTTCAAATGGATTTGTGACATAAATGTAAAAATTGAAGCCCGATTCTCAATATATATTGATTGGCATATAATTGGCACAATCTTTAGAAATATCAATTAAATGTTAAATATTAATAATGTACAACACAGACTTTCAATTCCAGAAATATATCCTACAGAAACAAAATATTTGTATAAATATAGGTAATGCAGTATTGGAATATCAAAAGTAGTAGTACACATATGAAATAGGATATGGATATAGGATATCATACATTCACAGAGGAGCAATATCACAACAGGGAGGTGAAAATTGATTCTTAAGAGAAACTTTTTTTTTTCTAAAGCATAGATACACATAAAGCATATAAACGGATATCCAGTATATATGTGTTATTGAAACTTCATGGGAGAGTAATAAGAAAAAAACTGTCTATGCCAGGCACGGTGGCTCATGCCTGAAATCCCAGCACTTTGAAAGGCCAAGGTGGGTGGATTATGAGATCAGGAGATCAAGACCGGCCTGGCCAAGATGGTGAAACCCCTTCTCTACTAAAAATACGAAACTTAGCTGGGTGTGGTGGCGGGTGCCTGTAATCCCAGCTACTCGGAAGGCTGAGGCAGGAGAATCTTTTGAACCTGGGAGGTGGACGTTGCAGTGAGCCAAGATCGCGCCACTGCACCCCACACTCCAGCCTGGGGAACAAAGCAAGACTCTGCCGAAAAAAAAAAAAAAAAAAAAAAGGGGGGGGGGGAAGGAGGGAGGGAAAGAAGGAAGGAAGGAAGGAAGGGGGGGAGGGGAGGGGAAACGGTCCAAAAAAAAAAAAAGGAAGGAAGATGACTAAAAGGCTGAGAAAAGCTGTTGTATATAATGTGATACCATGTTAAAAAGAATGAGGTAGATTTTTGTATGTTGACAAGAGGATGCCCCAAGATACAT